AATTAGTTTGGACTAGGCTATACTAGTTAATCCTATCGCGTATAGGAAGACCTAGTTTAGCCTAGGCAAAACTAGTTTGTCCTGAAATCGGATTTGGCCGGTAACACATATAATGGTATATTAAGCACATACACATTTAAAAAAAATCATCAGTAGTACACTCATCAGTATGACTCGCTCCATTTCAAGTCATAATCAACATCAAAGTCATAGGGGCCCCATTCTCCTAATATGCCCAGCGTCTCCAATAGGTTAGACGGCCCTGCGTACCAAGACTTTGGTTGCTTTACATTTGGTTACATTTTGTGTCTAGGAGCCCAAAAATGACCTGGGGGCCAATCGCCTAACGGAAATGCTTTGGGAAATGCTAACGCTTACGATTTTATATTGTTATTTCTAGCCGCCTGAGGTTTTCGAATACCTCACGCTCATTTTTTTTAATATTGTTATTACCAATGCAAAAGAAAATGAAAGAGCGCGAGGCATTTGAATACCTCAGGCGGCTAGAAATAACAAAATAAAATCGTAAGCGTTAGCGTTTTTTAAAGCATTTCCGTTAGGCGATTGGCCCCCTGGCCTGTCCTGCCGTGGTGATGCTCCTGCATACACTATATATTTTTTTATAAATCAGCAACTAATACAGTGTTACCAGAAAGCAATTTCGCCTTCCCCCCAAAACATACCCAAAATCCGTCCAAAATACAGGTTTTTAAAGAAAAGACATTATTATAAATCAGTTGTTCAACTTAAAACTAGGGTTGTAATAATCGAAATATCCGGTTTTATTAAAACTTCATAAAAAGCTTTTTCATTTAAACGAAACATTAAATGCTTAACAGATTTTAATCTTCTTTAAAATCTCAACAAATATTCCTTGAACACTATTGATTAACTATGAATATATTAATGAAATAAATATAGTAATGAGTATTATATCAATAACAAATAAGTTACAATTTTTATTTTTTAAGCATGTAACTGCTCGATGTTTAAATCTAAACAAAATAGTACTAGAAAAACAATCCACGCGGACCAGGCAGCAGACGGAACTCGAACCCGCACCCTTCGCTATCCGGGCGAATGCACTGAACATAATGCTACCGCGACCCTGATGGCCGTGTCGAATTTTTTCTAGCACCCCCAACATGCAAAATAAATATTTACTACATAGTACATATTTTTGCAACAGCATCCATTACTGGATCAACATCTCCGCACGCGTTCTCTTTCCCACACCTTTGTTAATCTTCTTACATAACTTTGTTTTAATAATGCCATTAATTTACCAAGGTGCAAACAATTAAAAGGACAAATTACCAAATTGCGACTTAGCAAAGCAATGATGATAAATATTTGTCCATTCGATTTGCCGTTAAAGCTAACTAACTACCTTTAACGACTGACTGCCTTGCTTGACTCCACTGACTGAGCGACTGAGCGAGACGGAATGGCCCGAAGAATACTTTTTGTTAAGTGGACTTTGGACTTAGGGGTGTGAATCGGGCTCACTGAATGAACACAGTTCAGTGGGCCCGAATCGGGCATAATTCTGTAAGCCTAATAAAATTTGACAATAGTCTATCCTTGTGATGCTCTATACAGAATTTGAAAGAGGGACTGTCGATCGACTGTTCAGCGCGAATTTTTACAGATTAAAAGTTATTATTAGTGGTTTTATTTTTATATAAAAAATGTAATATAAAAACCCTGTTTCCCCCAAACCCAATTTTCTTTCCCCCAATTATCCCTCCATCGCTTTAAAATCCCCCCAGATTGGGGGGAATCCCCCCAATCTTATTCCGTTAATAACTTGGTGTTTTTCTGGTAGTGTGTCCACAAAATTTGCAGCGGACGCACCAGGGGATGTCAAACATTATCCTTTAGTATATATTTTTGCTATTTCTACCTAAATAACATACAATAATTCTCGTGCCTCAGCTAGATCATACATATTAGAAGCATAAAAAAAATGGATCCATGTTTTAATACTATGGGTCCTTTTTTCCTCCGGATAGCGTAAATTTAACCTTTCAAGATGCACCCATCTATGTAAAATATATACGAATGGTATCTTTTTCAAGATCCTTAATTTAGATAACTTTTTGTAATAATTGAAGAAAAAACCACATCAGAACAGCACTCCAGCCGTTCTTACACCTTTATTTTCACGCCTGGTAATAGTCGGCCATGATACGCATGGTGTTAGAACACCCAATCGTCCAGATAATGGGGGTGAAATTTCTCTCTGAGGCGTGGCACCAGATCGAATAATTCCTCGGAACACTCTCCATTGCTGGTATAGACGGTATAACACGCACAAGGACGCAACGTTTCTGCGCAAGCTTAGGGGCTGCAGCGCTTCAGTGAGCTCAGGATCATCATAAGTCGAATCACCCGCTTTTGAATCCGGTCAAAAGGTAGGTATTGGGGTGCCCCAGTCCGAAAATGAGGACCCCAGACACCAACTTTGATAGATCCATTTGTCTTTCTATGGAGAGTCAGTTTTGTTCTTACTTCCGGTAGAGGCGCTGCTTAGTTTCCATAGAAAATTCCAGTACTCCTTAAGCGACTGGACCTGTGCCTTGTAAAGCATCAATCGGTGTACAGTACATTGTCCACCGAGAGGAGAAAGTGACCGATTACCAACGAGAGTGTAGTTTGTCAATGACTGCTTAGGTAGTTTCTTTAATCCTGGCAGTGTCGATAAATATTCATTATCAATAAATAATATACGCCGTCTAGAATGGATAAGAAAACAAATTAAAAACTTAGTTAAAATAAAATAATCGAAGCGATTTTTACGTTTTGTTATTTTTTCAAAAATAATTTAGAAAGCCAATAGCTCAATGTTAAAAAAAATATTCGCGAAGTCTGCATAATCATACTGACCACTTTTCGGAACAGAAATTAAAAAAAGAAATGAAAAAAAAACAGCACGATAACAATTATTTTTTATAGACTTTTCTGCGTTAAAAATGGATTTCCATACACATATCTATAACTCGAAACGTGGTATCTTTATCTACTAAAGACCAGTACCCCTAGCACGAACCAATATCGAATTCGTATCGTTTGCGAGTCCGAAATGTCATTGTCAAATGTGTACTGATTTTTAGTTCTCGTTGCGTACTTTGTGCCGCTGCTGTTCAAGTTTCCATACAGAATTTGACATTGACATTTCGGTTCGCAAACTATTCGAATTCGATAATGGTTCGTGCTTGGGGTACAGTACATTGTTCACCGAGAGGAGAAAGTGACCGATTGCCAACGAGAGTGTAGTTTGTGAACGACTGCTTGGGTAGTAAACGCCGTCTCGAATAGATAAGAAAAGAAATTAAAAACTTTTACGTTTCGTTATTTTTTAAAAATTAACGCAGAAAGCTAATAGCACAATGTTGAAAAATTGATCGCAAAGTCTGCAAAATTCTATTGACCACTTTTTGGAACAGAAATGAAAAAACAGCATGTCAACAATTAATTTCTATAGACTTTTCTGACAGCTCAGCGCGTTAAAAATGGATTCCCATACACTTAACTTTAACTCGAAACGTGGTATCTTAATCTTACTAAATACCAGATATAAAGATTAATGTGTATAAAGGTTTTTCAAAAATGTACCCCTAATGGGGTAAAAAGGACGATGAAAGTTTGTAGGAAAAATCTTATTCTTTGAGTTAATACAATTAAAACTTGATAAAAGAATACTTATAATTTTTATTATTTTTAAAGCATGTAACTGCTTGATGTTTAAATCTAAAGAAAATATAACTAGAAAAAATTCCACGCGGACCAGGCAGCAGACGGGACTCGAACCCGCACCCTTCGCAATCCGGGCGAATGCACTGACCAATTATGCTACCGCGGCCCTCACGGACCTATAATGCGAAGAGATGGCGCTGCCTTGCAGCTTAAGAATAGCTAGAAGGAATTTCGACGCGGTCCGTGAGGGCCGCGGTAGCATAATTGGTCAGTGCATTCGCCCGGATTGCGAAGGGTGCGGGTTCGAGTCCCGTCTGCTGCCTGGTCCGCGTGGATTTTTTTCTAGTTATATTTTCTTTAAAAGAATACTTCTCTGAATAAATAACAGTTTGATTTTTTTTTCTTTTTATTGGTTTGCCTAAACTGCACCTTAAGGGGCGACTGGAGGGGGCTGAAGATTTTATATAAATTAATTTTAAAGCGCGTTCCAAACAAATGCAGCCAATATGCCTCTGCTGTCTATCTGTCACATTACAGGGCTCTACCCAAGGGCGGATCCAGGGGGGGGGGGGTCATGGGGGTCATGACCCCCCCCCCCTGGGCTGGGTACAGATGGACCAAACCCAGGGCGATTTTATTTAAGTACTATCAATATTTAATATACCACGACTATATGACCCCCCCTGGCGCCAAAGCTGGATCCGCCCTTGGCTCTACCCATTTACAGAATCATTGTCAATGTGGCGGCTATCGCAGCAAAAATAAATAAATAAAATCACGAGCTTCATTCTTAAAACGTGTTTTTTTTCACTTTTACATCTAGTTTTATTCAAACTCTTTTAGTTTACCTATTTTTAGAAATTGTAAGACTTGTGGTACGGAACCCTTCGTTTCTGAACCCGACTCGCATCTGGCCTGTTATTGTCATAATTAGTCACTCAAGAGTTTTGGCATATTTCCAAAACTAAAGCAAATACCACAACTAGATACGCAATTTACAGTGCATAATTTGTACATATACTAACTGCAAGGTGAGAACTTGTTTGCGATATAGTCAAAGCGCGATCAGATTGTCGGGGAGCACACACGGTGGCTCAGCGCCGACGCAGCTTCCCAGAAAGCGTTTTCCTCGTCACAGCGCGCTGCAGATGCGATGACGAATCCGCGACGTCACGATGACGCGTCATGCGGCGAATAAAAAGCGTTGCGAGGGCGCCAGCGCACCCTAGTGCTTGGAGCGCCGCGCCGCGACCACGGCCGGTGTCCTGCCCGCGCAAGCGAAGCCCTGGCACCCCGCCACGATGCATGCATGGACGCCGTCGCCGCGACGACGGACCACGGCGCCGATTCCGATGAAGGGGATGAGGCCGTACCTACCGGTAATTGACGGCCGCAAAACTGAAAAATAAACAGTAAAAAATGTGTGTGAGATTGTGCATGTGATGTGCAGTTTGAAGTTTAAATGTGGTGATTGTGGTTAAAGGTGGTGGTGACATTTACGAAAGGTTACATACTCGTACTTACACAAAATGGATTTTTGCCGTTGGTTTGTTATACCGGAAAAAATCTCAATTACTTAGTTATTCATAGGTTTTGGGTAGCCGTTGGAAGAAACCACCTGTATCCTGAGCTTAGTACACAAAACTATATATCTGAGTACGGCATCTATGGTTTACTGAGGTCAACAATGACTTGTAGTTAATTGTTGCTTGACAATTGCAACTTTATTCATGTTGATCAGGAGATGCAGCCCTGTACCCTTAGTACGAGTTTGAGCTCACGAAAACCATCATAGTTTTCGTGATTGTAAATTATCTTTCTATGTCCATTTTGGTGAAAAGTAACCAAATATACTTAAAATTTAAGAAGACGCAAATGATATAATGATGGAATTTAAACACTGTTTATTTGTATTGAAATGAAAACAATAAAATCAGTAGTACCCTTAGTACGAGTGCGAGCTCACGAAAACTATCATAGTTTACGTAATTGTAAAACTCGTACTAATGGTACTGATCAACTAAGTATCGGTTTAGTTTTCTGCAAGCTGCAGGTTTAAATAAAGTCATCATATTTATGACGGAGACAGACAACCTGTTAATAAATAAAATAATCTAGGTAGCCTTTTCAATAAATAATATCCAATAATGTTTACTTTTAATCAAATTGCACCGCCCGGACATCCATATTCATGGGGTGGTTACTTATTTAATACTTAGATAACTGTATAAAGTTTCCAATAAAATGGATTCGTAGGTTATTAAAAAAATTTGCAAGCAATATTTCTGTATAACATTCTTAATGTAAGATATTGTTAAAATTTGCCGGCCGCTCATTTAGGCCTAAAATCCAACGCAAACATAATCGTATTGGTAAATTAAGCAGTTCTTTTGCCTATTAACAATCACACAAGATTTATTTACAACGACTAAAATAATAAGTTACATAAAGGCATATGAGATTTGTAGTAAAAATAGCTTTTCAAGGAAATTGCTATTAATACCTATGTTTACTTAGATTTGAAAGCCTACATTCGGCTTAACAAGAACGAGAAAAGAATGTTTTAAAAAGAATTCCACCAGCTATATATAGGTAGTTGTAAAAAGTTCCTACATAATAGTAGTTTGGAAGTAACAGTAATAAATTTTCTGCGACGTATACGCATTATAAACATTAAGAACTTAAAGCTCAGGACAGTGTTACCATGGCTTAATGTTCCATTATTAACTGAGAATAAAATAGATTAAAAAAAAACGACTTCATAAAAATAAAACCACAAAAAAGTAAAAAATAAGACAATTCTTTACTTGTGTCTAAACTATATTTAAAGGCAAAAATAACATTGGATATCGGTGCCATGCCAACCCGAGCTGTAAGAGGTAACTTAGATCTTTCATCATGTATGGCATCGACTTTACCTAAATGTTAAATTTGGATACCATTTTTTATTGATTACATGAAACATCATATGAAGCGATAAATTATATGGCATAATAACAAATTAATATACAATTTCGATCAATATATACAGGCTGACCCACAGCATTGCAACGTGGAGGAAAAGTACTTGAATAGGTAGATAAGATAGAAATTTTAATGAATGTAATTGTAGGTTTTTTTTTAAAGCCCAAAGCCTAACTGGTTGCAAAGAATTGTAAATTAGCGCCTGTCTGAACCGGAAATCAAACCTGCTAAATGTAAAAAAAAGCCTATAAGATCTAAAGACTGAATTTTATACATTTATTTCTAGAAAATAACATAGCATTTAAAATGATATGGTACGTTTTACTGCAACTTAAAATTTCATTTATTAACGGCCAGCAGTCTCCATTGACGGATTAGTTTTTATTCCTGCACTCATACTGGTTATTACATACTAAATCTTTCACTTAACCTCATAAAATCCAAGAGAAAATATAACTAGAAAAAATTCCACGCGGACCAGGCATCAGACGGGACTCGAACCCGCACCCTTCGCAATCCGGGCGAATGCACTGACGAAATTTTTCCAGTCATTCTTAGGCTGCAAGGCAGCGCCATCTCTTCGCATTATAGGTACCTAACCCACAATGCATTCGCCCGGATTGCGAAGGGTGCGGGTTCGAGTCCCGTCTGCTGCCTGGTCCGCGTGGATTTTTTTCTAGTTATATTTTCTTTAGATTTAAACATCAAGCAGTTACATGCTTTAAAATAATAAAAAAAATATAATTAAATCTAAGAGAGTTAAATCTAGGGGCCTCTGATAGTCATCTGATATGTCCATGAGATGGTAACGCATAAGTTTTACGAAATAGGTGAAAATATAAGAACAGTAACAATTAGTACCACACATAGAGAAAACACTAGCTACCTACTATTTTTTCTGGTTTATATAATTTAAAATTTACACTTTAAAGATTTTCTTTTCATTTATAATGGTTATTAAATAAGAGGAAATGGACATATACGGTTAAGACTTTCGATTTAAACATTATGCAGGAGAATAACTTTACATTTAGCAGGTTCGATTCCCGGTTCAGGCTGGTAATTATTTAATATTAATGAATGCATTTCGCAGTTTTTGAAATAAAATTAAGTCATCATTGGGTAAAATCTTTTATCTACCTACAGTATTTAAGAGCGAACGCGAGCTCAGAGACATTTCAGAAATAGGTATTTCAAAAAAACTATTTGAGAAGATAATGCCATCCGCTAATATGCATAGTTATAATATTTTGACATTAAAAGTTCTACGATACTAGGTAGTTAGACCCCCGATTTAAACATGAATGCCAAAATTTACAATGAACTTGCGAGATTTTATTTAGTTTCACGGGGACAGAATAATTTAATTTCTATAGCGTTGTTCTGAAGTTAATATTGTGTTCTTACAGTAAGTAAGGATATCAACGCTACACATAACTCTTAGGCATCTGAATGCTCACATGTAATAATCATCATCATCATCATCATCATCAACAGCCTATCCTAGTCCACTGCTGGACATAGGCCTCTCCAATTGCACGCCACTCAGATCGATCTTGGGCTACTCGCATCCAGCTCCTGCCAGCCACCTTGCGCAAATCGTCACTCCATCGTGTCTGAGTACGTCCCGGTCTGCACTCCAGAACTCGTCTACCCCAACGGTTATCAGTTCTTCGGCAAATATGGCCAGCCCACTGCCAATTCATGTAATAATAAGGTGGTGTAAATACAAATTGTATTTCACCGCCGAGTGTCGGCAGCGCATGTGACTATCACTATAAAATGACAAGTTTTGTTGACCGCGAATAAAAATTCGCGTTTACACCGACCTACACTTAGGAGACTAAAAAAGCACACTTTAAATTAATTATCATTTGCATTATCACAGAAGAATATAGGAAGTTAATACCTATGTCCAATAAATCAACAGAAAATGAAACGCAAGTATTTAAATGAAATGTTTGTGTGATAGAATTTGGGCATGAACTGTATGTGAGTTAAGAATATTAATACATACAATTAGTTAATAAAATGGTAACCTTCTAATAACACGCCAAGATGAAGTACCAAGATTATTAATCTAAAGAATTTTACTAGAAATAATTTCACTCGGTCCAGGATCTTGGGAGTGGATCTTTTTCTAGTAAAATTTGTTTAAATTTGTTAATCAAGCTTTTTAATGCTTCATTCTTATTTTAATCTTGAAATAAAACCGACTTCAACATCGAAAATGGAACTCAAAAGTAAAAAATAATATCTGGTTCATTATTTGGAAGTCGGGCGGGTCAAGATTGAAAGACGTATTATTACCGATCAGAAACGAAAATCTATTGTAATGGAAAAGAGACTTCATGCCCATAAGATAATCCTACAAGGTAGAAAGAGATGTACATGATATACCTTTGATTCAATAAATTTTCAGCAAGCACCATCAGCATCCTGTTAAAGTAAACTGTGCTCAAATAACTGACGAAATCTATATTAATGAAGAAAGAATAGTGCTAATACAATTTAGTTTTAGAAATGGTGTCTTGTGCGCGAAGTGATTGTAATGTGTCCAAAACAAATAACCCAAATACTGTTAGTGACCATGAAAGTTTAAAACAATATAACCCAAATACTTGTTCATTTCATAGGAAATTATCATTTATCTCGGTTGAATGTTTCATATCATATTTTGTTATTTGGGTTTTACGGTAAAGTAATGTTTTTATTTGTATTATACAAATAAAAACATTACTTTACCATTATTGAATTGTTTCACAGCCCAAAGTAGATTATAAGATTATGTTGAATAAAAATTGTAATAGGGTATTTGACAAGTTTTAGAAAACGATCTCACTTTATTGACTAATGTTTATGGAGTCCGTAAAAAGTGGATATTCATCATTCTGTTGTATATTTCAGTAAAAATAACCAAATCAAAAACACCATTTTCAAGTTGCCGCGAAAACGTTTCTCTGGACAATATGGCGTCTTACTAGTGTGTGACGTGTGATGTAATGTCACTTTAACCGGAAGTTTACTTGCGTGTGACGTCATTTTAGGCTCCGCCAATCCCAAGCGGTCACGTGACAATAGATAAGTAAACTATTATCTTTTTCGTGGGTTTTTAGTAAAATCATGAATACATTTTTTGTAAAAATAGTAAAATCCCCTGCCAATATTCATTCTAAACACAGATGCTAACAATTGGCACTTTATTTTTAATACTGTCAAATACCCTATTGTTTGGATATGCTAGGGCTTGACTAATTGGTAAATTGGCCTATCGATAAGAAAGTCAATAGATTGTAATTAGCCATCAGTTGTGGGATTAACAAAATTTTTCGTTTTTATTTTTAAGACTTTCTTTTTCATAAGATGACAACAAAACTTATTTAAGTAATTTTTTGTCTGTTTTGTAAATAGCTGTAATTCATGAATCGTAACAGGTAAACATTTGAAATTATCTTACAGTTTATTTTTTATTGCCGATATAATAAATAATAATTAATACGAAATACATATATTTAACAACGTACTAATGTATGACTTAACGGAAAAAATTACATACCTACAAAATTGGCCTAAACATCGTTTGAAACCATGTCGAACTTTTTATAGAAGCACCGCCTTGGTTTTTCGATAAAATGAAAAGTTAAAACACGTCACTATCACACACCCAAACACCGTTATGCACACATGCACAATTCAATTTTTAGAATACCAGCGACAGGTACTCTGTCTATCTTTGTATTCTATATCTATGGTAAGGATCGTTCTTAAGTTAGGTGCAAACCAAATGGACAGAAGTTATCTAATAAAAAATAATGAGTTTTGGAAGTTTCTATGTTTGATTCAAACGCATTCAAACGCAAACGTATTGCTGTGATGTTGCTAGTCAGCAAAAAGGCTCGGCAAAAATGTTTTGGTTACTGCTAAGGTGCTAGTCTTGAATGGATACTCCTCGAGTTGCTGCTCTTGCGGGAATGAATGAATGGTTACAGCTTGTTTCTTGAATGTGAATCGTAACTGCTTGTTCCTTGAATGAATGTGAATGGTAACTGCTTTATAGCTACTCGTATTAACGGGATTGTTACCATGCACCTTGTTTTTTATGAGTCTCCGATATTTCGGCACTGTTGCAAGCGCCATGATCACGGAGTAACTGAAGTAATTGCGGGTAGATGTTAGTGGCACACATATCGGTCTACCCTCTGACGTCGGTTTTTACTGCGCTCGATACCCCTACCATTGGTCACATTCTCACTATTCACTCGCACCTGTTCCCGACACACAATACTCACAGTATCAGATCGCGGAACGACACTTTTTTGATTTTTGCGGTTTTTGCACATACGAATATCGGAGACTCATAAAAAACAAGGTACATGGTAACAATCCCGTTAATAGCTATAATGTTAGTGACCATGAAAGTTTAAAACGGTAACTGCTTGTTCCATGAATGAATGAATGGTTACTCTTCGTTTCCAGACCCCGAGAAGTGGGAGGTGCGCGACGTGCAGCGCTGGCTGCGCTGGGCGGAGCGCGTGTTCAGCGTGCGGGCGCCGCGCGCGCACCTGCTGCCCGCACACGGACGTGGGCTGCTCGCGCTGACCACTCATGACTGGAGACAGGTAACGTATCTTACTGGACATTATCATTATATTATTACGACGTGCGCCCTGCCTGCCCTAGACGCGGCGCACCTGCTGCCCGCACACGGACGTGGGCTGCTCGCGCTGACCACTCATGACTGGAGACAGGTAACGTATCCTACTGGACATTATCATTATATTATTACGACGTGCGCCCTGCCTGCCCTAGACGCGGCGCACCTGCTGCCCGCACACGGACGTGGGCTGCTCGCGCTGACCACGCATGACTGGAAACAGGTAACGTATCCTACTGGACATTATCATTATATTATTACGACGTGCGCCCTGCCTGCCCTAGACGCGGCGCACCTGCTGCCCGCACACGGACGTGGGCTGCTCGCGCTGACCACGCATGACTGGAAACAGGTAACGGATCCTACTGGACATTATCATTATATTATTACTACGTGCGCCCTGCCTGCCCTAGACGCGGCGCACCTGCTGCCCGCACACGGACGTGGGCTGCTCGCGCTGACCACGCATGACTGGAGACAGGTAACGTATCCTACTGGACAATATCATTATATTATTACGACGTGCGCCCTTCCTGCCCTAGACCCCGTGCGCGCACCTTCTGACCACACACGACTGGAGGCAGGTAACGTATAGGTACCGGAAAACTTTTTGAGAAAAGCCATGGACGAATAAACTTGCGTAGCTAGACGTTTCTGTATGTAAAATTGCTAGTGCGCAGGCTTCCTTGTCCATGGTCGTTGCTCAAGAAGTTTTCCAGGATGTATACCTGTCCTACTGGATATCTATATATATGAAACTCAAAGGTGACTGATTGACTGACATAGTGATCTATCAACGCACAGCCCAAACCACTGGACGGATCGGGCTGAAATTTGGCATGCAGGTAGATGTTATGACGTAGGCATCCGCTAAGAAAAGATTTTGATTAGTTCTACCCCCAAGGGGATCGAAGAGAAGCGAGGGCGGGCCACTAGTTATCTTTATATTATTGCGCACCTGCTGCTCAGCGCACTGACGCGGCGTGCTGGCTGTCAGGTCGCGTTCCATTGTTTAGTTATTTCCTATTACAAAATAATGTGTACTGTAAATAGTGGTTTAATCTTAATGATGGTTTTGAAGTTAGCGCAAGTGGCGGCGCAATCAAGGAAATGTACAATTTTAAACTGATACTTGCCCATAGTTGCACTCGACGCTAACTTTACAACCGACATTAAAAAATCATACTATACATACCGACCCAAGAATATACCAGACATCGTATGACTGGTCACCTATAAGATGAAAATTTTTTGCTGTTGGAGGAGAGGCCCTATTAAGCACCAGGAATACAAGAATTAAACGAATAAAACAAATACATTTAAAGATAGATCGTCGACCGATGTCGTGTCCTGTTAAAAGCTCTTCCGGAAACACCGTCTTTTGTCCCGCTCTGGTAGATTGACATAAGCCCTGTTGCATGCATGTGATTCGTACTATGAAATGGTATCGTGGTCCTTCCGGCTAGGTCAAAATGGTTACCCTAATCAATCCACAGGCCTTCTCTAATGATGAGTATGATTGTTGCGCAGGTGTGTGAGGGAGACGAGCAGTCGGCGCGCATATTTCACGCGTTTCTCGCGCATGCGCACGCCACCGCGCGCGGCCAGCCGCCCCCGCCACCGCTGCCTGAGCACCAGGCGCAACCCTCACACGCTGTCAGCTCAGACTTCGGTGAGTTTTTTTTTTAATTTATTCATGACCATGGATACAATTCCTTTAGTCGTATACATAGGTAATACAAAACAATGAAGATTATAAAGATAGAATTTTAAAATAACAATTGTGAAAAAAACAAACAAACTGAACAAAATTAATAAGAATCATTAATAAACAAAAGTATGACAAATGGTGAGTTTATTGTAGGCCCAGTGTTGCCAGGTCTCCAGATTTTACAGGAGATCTCCTGTTTTTCTGAAATTTCTCCTGTTCTATTTTTTTTCTACATGAATCTCCGGTGTTTTTAGAATACGATTTTCTTTATGAAATTGCATGTTGAGTTGCATTTTCCGCCATGTAGGTAACCTTAATAATTATAAAATAAATGTTATTGCCTAAAAAACTAGCTTTAAGGAGCGGCAGAAGCCACAGAAACACATTCGTTGCTGGACGTTATCTTGATTTGATTTACCAATTCTAGGGGGGGGGGGGGGGGGGGTGAAAAGCGGAAAAAGTACGCCTCTGCATCTACTGTTTTTCTTGCAGATCTTTCCCGACATTTACTGTTTTTTTTCTATAACGCCTCCCGATGTCCCGGACCTGGCAACACTGTGTAGGCCTAGTAAATTGGATGTATAAACATACATTTGGTGCAGCCGCGGTCTTAGGGGGCGTCACTACTTGCCACTATTCCCTAAGGGCGCTAGGGTAATGATTGTACACGGGCGCCTTGTTTTATTTTCATATTGAATGCAGGCAAACGAACTAGTAGTCCACCTGGTGGTGAGTGGTCAATACCGCCCATATACACTCACTTATATTATAATAGAAAAAATAATTTTGCATAATTGAACAGCACAATTGAATTTTATCAAAAAGAACTCGATCACCGCGAGGTACCATACTGAATGCGATATTGGAGATGAAGTGGTATCATCAGTCGCGAAAGGTAGACATCAGAAGGTGACGAGTTCGATTACCATCTAAGCTGGTTTTCTTATTCTGTGTCAAATTTCTGAAGGCGCCTATTTTTTTTCCTTCATTATTTACCAATGAAGGCTGGCTTTACAGAAAGGAGGTACATTCATTTATAATAATTATCGGGACGGCATCAATACACATAATTTGATCGAAAAAAATATTTGTATTGATGCCGTAAAATTATTTGTATTGATTTTGAGATTGATTATTGAAATTAATCCTTAGTTTCAATAATCAACTTCTAAATAATTGGATAATCTGGTTCCGCTTCTTAGCAACAGTTGTTATTCTAACCTTATAAATAAATAAAATAATAAAAATAAATAAATATTTCCAACACAAACTAATTAGCCTAGCCCCGAAGTAAGCACTGTAAGGCTTGTGTTATGGGATGCTAGGGTAACGGATAAAATACATGTATAAATATATTTATATAGAAATACATATTAAACATCCATGACTGGATTACAAATGCTCGTATTCATCACACAAACATCTGCCCCCACCGGAATTCGAACCCGGGACCTCTCGAGTCGGCGACGCTATGAAACCCGGCGCATAAACCACTCGACCACGGAGGTCGTCGTCGTAAATAAAATTAGGCAACAAGCTAAATTATTCTTACCTTTTACTGGAGGTTGATTATTGAAACTGGCCGAGTACAACAACTTACTAATAACTAATGTATGACAACTATTTGTTAAAAGAAAATGCGAGTCAAGGCTTTTTAATTTATATAAATATGAATAAAATTAAAGTAGCCATACATATCATTCTCTAAAATGTAAACTTACAATGATAACCTGTTTCCAACAGGTTATCAGGTGAATCGGTTAAATTGCACAACACATAAATTAATAAAATGGAATGCTTCATTTGATGTACCGTTGAGATTTATCTTCATTTTATCAAATGAATCATTTCAATACCATGAATTCTCAAGAAAAATCATGAGCAAACAACCTAAATTTACATACATCAACAACACAAACTTATTAAAACCAACGCCATCTGTTGACCGTAGCGGAAAGCGCGGTGGCATAATAGAAAGCGCGCCAAAACTCATGAATGAATGTTGCCTTGATGAGTCACCCCGCGGCCGCGAGTTCCATTCATCTCCGCCGCTGACTCACGCGCGAATCACGATCATTAATATTACGGTTCGTTCGTAGAATACTGGTCAGCTCAGTGTCATTATTGCATTACTATGAGTACTTTTTTTATGTCCCCAATTACATTTGGTAGGTGACTTGAGCAACCATCGATTGATATTTTCTAATAGGTAATGGCCCATTGCCAAGAATATAGTATATACAGCCTTGATGACTTTAGTAATATAAATGCTTTATTTACCACAAAAGACATTTTTTATCTCATTTTAATTTTTCGTGATTGTTGTAGGTATGTTTTTATAGAAAGAAAGACTCACATACATTAGAAATACTTTTCTATAGAGAATAGGTTTGCAAGTCGTGGAGTGGCACAAACAGAGGAACTAAGAGGTCGATGTTCTCTGAACTATGTGCCCGGCACAGATCACAGAAACAGGTGCCCGGGCACAGCCGGGATAAGGAAAAAGGGCTAAAGTATGCCACAAGCTATACACTATCTCCTTGGTTGCTATATTTAATTTAAATAATTAAGGATAAATTTGTAATTTTTTGGAAAAAAAAATATCAAAATTGATGATACCAAATGGTAAGGTTATAATATGGTGCTGTGGGCCCTGTAGTAATTTTGTATTAAGAAAAGCATTGAGGTGCCAGGATAGTGCCTATACAAATATACTTACAATAGGGTATTTGACAGGATTAAAAATAAAGTGCCAATTGTTGGCATCTGTGTTTAGAATGAATATTGGCAGGGGTGTTTACTATTCTTACAAAAAAACATATTCATAATTTTACTAAAAACCCACGAAAAAGATAATAGTTTTCTTATCTATTGTCACGTGACCCAAAACACTTGGGATTGGCGGAGCCTAAAATAACGTTACACGCAAGTAAACTTCCGGTTAAAGTGACATTACATTGTATCGTTTGACGTTTTAATAACAGTCTTGTGACGTCACATACTAGTAAGACGTCATATTGTCCAGAGAAACGTTTTCGCGGCAACTTGAAAATGGAGTTTTTGATTTGGTTATTTTTACTGAAATACACAATAGAATGATGAATATCCACTTTTTACGGACTCCATAAGCATATTAGTCAATGACGTGAGATCGTTTTTTAAAACATGTCAAATACCCTAATATTATTTATTTATTTATTTAATCTTTATTGCCTTTACACTGCAAATGGCAATAATTATAATAATAATTAATAAATAATTATTATTAATTTACTTATTTATATAGCTGTTATTCTTATATTTATAAAACGTAGAATTACAGCATCATCTAAAGTTTATATTAAAAGTATTCACACGCAAATATTTGATCCATAACTGAAACTGTCGTAGTAGATGGGCAGTTAATTTATCGTTGTTGTTTTTGGACACTAAGCTTCGATCAAAACTTTATTAAGAAAGTACATATAGCAGACCTTTGGTTAAATACATCCATAATCGCTTATCCTACCGGAGAGTGGTTATTTCTGAATAATTATCAAATAAAAAGTAATAGTAGTCTATCATAAAATAAAAAACAGCACACTCGCATAAACAATCTCTATAAAAAGTTGCCATAAAAATAAGTATTTGTCAATGCGATGAGATTTATTCCATGTGGAGTTATCAGTTCAGTTATCAAACCTTTTCCATAATAATTTAGATAAGTTCCTAAAACGGTCATTTGGCGTCGTATCGGCACTTCGTCTAAACGATTCAATTATCATAGCAAG